AAAAAAACAAGGCGGAAGACCCCTCCCTAACTCAGAAGGGCTGCCATCATCCTCAATTTTTCGATAACGCCCTGCCACTCCCTGGCCATTGCTCCTGGACTTTATTTTGGATTTCTTAGCATCGCTCACCCAAGCAGGGGAAGACACAAGAGTGACCTGGCATGGGAAGAGTGGGGTGCATGGGGGATGTAGAGCCCCCTCGAGCCCCTTGCTGCTAAATCTGGCACTGATGCTGACTGCAATTTGTCTCCTCCTGCTTTATAATCACTTTGGAAATAAATTGGTGGGAAAAACATCACCGCCTGGTACACGTGGTGGGCAGATGTGTGTGCTGCCCAAGGGCTTTGCAGGAGAGAGCAGAGAAGGAGCGGGCACAGGGAGAGATGCCGCTTTTGATACGTGCCGAGAGCAATGAGAGACGCAAAGCCAGACCAGTAGCTTTGCAGAATTATCTTAGGTTACGTTAAATATTGATTTTTGTTATTTTAGGTTGCTCCTTTTTTCCCTGCTTGCTGTGTTGCCCAAAAGCCAACTCAGCCCACACAAGGTACAGGCAACCAGGCGCAGCATCTGACGGACAATCTCCAACAAGAGCAAGCAGGGCAAGAAGATGTATCGAAAACTGGAGCGATGCTGGGCACTGAACATGTGCAGAGAGCAGAGAAATGAAACGAGAGCTTTGCACGTGCCGCAGATGACACGCGTGTGAGGGAACGGCCAAATGGAAACACGTATTAAGTTAAGGATGGAAATTCATGGTTTCAGCTCTCCATGTCCTGTCTCTGGAGAGGCAGAAAGATGGAGGTCCATGTGACACCCTCCCCAGAAAGCAATCCCCCTTTGATGGTGGCACTACAGTAAAACACGCTCCCCCCAGCAGACCACAGGCAGTTGAGGACAGTCCTGTTTCCCATCACCCACCATTATCATGGACCAGTTATCAAAGCCACTGCTTTTTTCTGCCCCCTAACTTTGCCGTTGCAAATGATTTTGGAGCAGACCAACCAACCAGTGCTGTGTATACCAACAAACAAATCACCCAGAATAATTAGCAAATGCACAAATTATTTCTGTCTGGGTTGCAATGAGAAACCAGGAACAAGCCCTTCACCCAGGTGATGCAACCAACAGCCTACTCAGGGACCATGACTTAATTCAATATCTCTGGTGCCGAGATGGACTTCAGCCAAAAAAAGAGGCAAAAGACTCTCCACTGGAAGACCCTCCAAGTTCACTTCTCTTCATGCCATGGGGATGCTGCCACAAGCAACCCACTCATTTCACAGATGGGCCCTGGCATGAGATACCATATTTCCACATACAGCTCATAATTTTATCTCATTACCTGCAACATGTTGAGGAGCAGACTCCGGAATTTAGTTCCTTCCACCATGAATAGGGCCATTTTGTCACAGAGCTTGGCTGCTGTGGAAGCAAAGCTGCGGTCCGTCACCGCTTTCTGATAGATTGTCTTGACTATCTCCCCCAGCATCTCCTCAGAGTTGGTAGAGTTCTGGGCCTCCTCCATGAAAGTGGTGAGCTTGGAGTCAACGTCGCTGCTGTTGTTCCTCATGCTGTTGAGGATTTCAATTAATTTGTCCATTTTGTTCTTTTCAGGATTGGTGGTTTCCACCGTGACTTCGTCCTGGTCCGTGAAAAGGGAAAGACAAGGCGTCTGTTACACAAGGAAAAAACAGACATATCAGCCCTTGTCCTTCCACAAACAGCAAAGGGGGAGGGGGATTGGGGAGACATATAAACAGACATAGAAAAATCAAAGCGTCTTTTCGAGGCACAATGGTCTCATCTCAGCATTGAAAACCACAAGTGAATGAGTCCTGCCCCAGAAATGTTCTTTCCCCATTTCCCGTAACACTCAATCCCAGAGTCCTCCCCTTTGGCTCAGAGAGAAGATGTGCTCTAAGGCCCTGAGCCAGGATGCCAAAGTCCGATCACCCCTGACTGCCTTCTGCATCTTGGACAGGTTTCTGGGGGTGTCTGCAACATGGTGACACTGGACGTTGTTTTGCCTCTATTTTGGAAGTGCACTGATGCTTGCAAAATGCTCAAGTAACAATCCTACAAAATTATCTACTTTTTAATATATATTTAATGAACTAAATTGAGATTAAAGATGTCACATGATCCCAGTGTTAGAAAAACTCTTTTCCATCTCTTGACTCTTAAGACTTCTTACTTCATGTCATTACCATAGAATTTATTGCTTCTTTTCAACATTTAATTATACATTTGTCCCCTTCCCCCAGCGTAAGGCATGCACCCTCCTTGCTATGGTCTGCTCCCTTCTCCTTCTCTACTACAATCTTAAAACGTGCTATACAATACAAACCTGTAGCAATTTGTTGGACAACCCCAACACCAACTGGCAGTTGGAGTTGTCCAAAACTTCAGTTAGGAGACCAGTTGTGTTGACTACACCCACCCAAGAGTGGTTGTTTATGTAATGTCTTTCTTATAAGACTACAAATTCGCAGGGAGAACATTAAAATGAATACTCTGAAAGTCTCTGCTGTACTCCCATTGCTTTAAAGAACATAAAAATAACTAACAAAATCTCTTCCTCCCCCTCATGCCACATACATAAATAGTAAATGCACATGCATTCAAAGATATACATTTCCAACATGCACTCCCATGGAATTTTACATGTTCAGGTTATTTTTGCTACACATTTTGGAAATCTCATTGGAGATACCCCCCACAGATGCACTTTCCAGTCTGACAAAAGAGTCTCAAGAGAAAGAATCTGACTTTCACAGGGGGCACATGAAGATACCATCTTCAAATTCCTCAGAAATCTGAGGCTGAATATTGTTTCCAAAAAGGATTTCTCCTCCGTCACTTGCATGCAATAGTTTTGTTATTGTTGGGTTGTTGAAAGGAAGGGGGAAAGATAAGGGCGTTTCAATTCATTGCAGAGATAAATGGATATCAACTTTTAAGTAGCTGACTCCAACTATTCAGCACTCAAAAGTCAAAGCTTGGGATTTAGCTCTGTAATTGAGGAGAGACAAACTGCTTGTTTTAGACCTCTTTGCAAAGTAGATGAGCTCTGCGGATTGGGAGGCAGTCAGTTGGGATCAGCCGTCAGGGAAGGAGGACCCACACTGTAGCTCATGTGTGCACCAGCCTTCCCCAAGGGTCTTTGCGTGGGTAGGGGGAGAGTTCCCCTTCCTTCTTGGAGAACTCAAGCTGGTAGCAACCTCAACCAAGAATTCAAGCTAAGAGCCTTAGCATCGTGTCAATAAAAGGCCTCCTGAAGAAGCCAGAATTCACTTCAAGAGAAGTGTTGACACTAAGAGATTAAGAAAAGTTGGGTGCATTCATGGAAAGGTCCCTTGAGCCCACCCCACCCTTTGTATGGAGAACGGCCAACAGCCAGTCTCTTGGAAAAAGGGAAACTCAACATTTCCCTAAGAAATAATACCTTTTCTTTTAGTCTCCTCCGCAGCCTGTCTTTGGAAGACTGAAGCAAATTGATCTTGGGTCTTTCCCCAATGCGCTCGTGAATACTGTCTTTCCGCTTGGTCTCTGACTCCTGGATGTACTGCTGAGACTGCTTCTCCACGGTCTCTGGGCCTCGGTGCGTCTCCACGGGAATATGCACCGTGCAGACGGAGGTGTCCTCAATTTTCAAATTCTCAGTCTCTTTGGCGTTTCTGTGCGTTTCTTTGTCGTTGGGCGAGTGCTTCTGGTTGTGGTGCCATCTCCGGTTCTGGCTGTAGCCGTGGTGGCCCGTCCTGCCTGAGGAGTGAGGGGCCTGGCCTCCTTGGTAGAGTTTCTGGTGGTCCCTGTTGTGTTTGGTGCCACCTTGCTGATGATCTGCGTGCTGCTGAGGCTTGTTCCCACCAGGAAGTCTCTGCTGTCTCCTGGAAAGTCAATGAACGTTGTTAGTATAGACTTTCCTGCACGGTCCTGCTTGGTGAACACATCTTCTATCCCACCAAACAGCCTGACCCTTGCTGGGTGGGCTCTGTGGGTCTCCCTACCACAAAAGGCGTAGCCAATTTCTTGGCATCTAACACAACCTAGTACCAACTCATGTCTCTAAATGTCTTTCAGTAACTGGCATATTTCAGCTGAAAGTTTTCATGAACAGTTAGATTAACACGTCTTTGGTTGCCAGGAAAATCCCTCCCAGGTTTCTGTGTTGTCTGTGTTGCCACACTAAACCAGGGAAGACCCAGTTAGTCCCAGCTCAGCAGCAGGAAGTCAGGCAGGCAAGAAGTATCAGGAGGTATTTTTTTCTCAAGACCTAAGGAGCTCCCGATATACCTGCCCTGCAGCATTGCTTGCTCCTCTTGCTTGCCACCTCTGCTGTACCAACATGGCATACTGTTGCACTGGTTTTAACCATTTAAAACATTTTAAGTGCATCATGAATTTCTAAGTGGGAAAAAAAGGTAAAAAGCAAATTACCAAGTAAAAGACGTGCCCATACCACATGGTTTTGTTCAGCCTTTCTTCATGCACGTCTCATCATTGCTATATGGGGAGAGGATGCATGCATGGATGAAGCTGAGGACCACAATTGGCTCTGGCAGCACAGGGAGCCAGGACCATTACCTCTGGATAGGAGGCTGGGTGAATACAGCTCCAAGCGGATAACGTGGAAATTCAACAGGCACAAAGAGGAGGAATTGCCCTCAAATGGTTTGCTCGAGAGACTACAGTGGCTCAGGAGGGGTGAGAAAGCCCCTATGTGCTGGCTGTAACCGGTAGCCAAGATGGCAGGTCCCCAGAAAACAACGGTTGAATGGAAGAAATGCTTTGGCAGCCTCAGCTATTTCAGCTTTCCACGCGGGCTGCAGCGTGGTTCTCCCCAGTGGAGAAGGCTGAGCTGGCATGACGTCATCAAGGATGCAGTTAAGATGGAGATGGTCCCGGCACAGGCTGCCTTCGCCCAGGACTCCGCAGGGTTAGTCCGAAGCACGACAGCAGCTGCCTGCCTACTGCCTTCTTAGCGCGCGGTATTGGCTCCGAGCGCGCACGGGACGCTTTAACGCTCGGCTCCTTACAAGGCTGCTGGGAGCAGCGCTGGATGCTGGCCAGGGACATCTCCCCGGCATCGTCCCCTGAAACGGGGAAACAGCCACGAGCGCTGCGGTGACCACACCGGTCTGCATCCTTTATAATCCCCCCGCTCAGCCTCATCCCTTACCTCAAACCCCCACCTCCATTCGGATAAATAGCAGCATTTATTTTAAACACATTGCGTAGCAATTAATTTTATTTTCATCATAATAAATGGACGAAGGAAGCGGCCATTCACAAATACATTTCAATGGTCAGTGGCTAAACAGTCTCCAACCTTGCCTGCCAAAGCCATCTCCCCATCAAATCAGCATTCCCTGGCATCCCCGGGAGTTAAAACCTATTTTCTGAGGCCAGCTGGCTCTTAACCATGAAGAGCGCGGGCTCGTGTTCGGCGAACGCAGGACGAAGAGGCTTGTTCGTGGTGGCAGTGGAAGGAATTTGTGTTTGGTCTCAGACCACCAGATCCGGTTTTCTGAGACATTCAATGTGGTGGTGTTTTGTTTCTTTGGGTGTTTTTTTGCAAGCTGAATGGCAGGGAATTAAAGATGGGGGAAGCTTTCCTGTTTGCTGGAGCTTACAAGCATTTTATGAGTACAGATTCTCCACATCAAGTTTTCCTGGCATTTCTTTGTTTCCTCTCAGTAACGCAATCACATAAACCGCTTTGTAGAGAGCAACGCTTATTAAAATGGGAATGTCAAAATAAAAGTTAGTTAAAGCCCTTATCTAGTGCTGAGCCCTCACATGCTTAAGTGTGCAAGAGTTTTGCTGATTTAATTCAGCATTTGCTTTCTGTGGTTTTGTTCTTCTCTCCTCTCAAACGTCTGAGTTTAACTGTTTGGGTGCACTTTCAGCCTTGGGTTATAAATACAATAGCAGCTTGTCCGGCTTAAGTTGGAAATATCGCACAGAACTGCTAAAAGATGCATACAGACACAGCTTTAATTTAAGCAGAGGTAAGGCAAAACGCCTGGAAACGAGCTGGGAACCAACCTCTGCCATAAATTCCTGCAACAAATGCATGCAGGGACATTTTTTTCCTAAAGACATAATGATATTATAAACCAAGCCATTTCTGTTTAAGGGCTATGAAAGAAAAAAAAAAAGGTTTAAGATTAAAAAAACCGCTTAAGTCAATGTGGAATGTTCAAGATTGTTCAGTTTGGGGCTTTTGCAATAGGGCAGGGAGAAGACAGGCTGCTCTATCCCCGTACAGGACAGCCAAAAGGCAATATCCCCATGGCAAGGGGCAGAGCAAACATAAACCAAAGCTCTGCAGTCACTGACCACAGGACGGAAAACACCAGAGTTAAACAACTTAGGGAAAAAAAAAATTGCAAGAAATAAAAGGCAAAGGAAGGAGAATGGCAAACAAGAAGCAACATCCGTGACTTGGCAGCAGACAAGGGTCTAGACAATCATCCAGCATTCAGGCAAAGACTCGTGTGTTTTTATCTTCCCAACACCCCAGCGAAGAAGAAAAGCCAAGAAGAAAACAGGACTCTGCAGCGAAGAAGAGCCAAGGCAGGGAGAACGGGGCCCAGAACTTAGATTTTTTTTTTTTTTTCCTGACTGCACAGCATCGCAAAGCCGGGGAGTTTGGGATGTCCCATCCTTGCTCACAGGTGACGGAGACGCTGGGGACATGGAGAGCCCGAGGAAGGGGTAAGATGGGGACCAGGGCACCCCACCACAGGCACCCGCTGTGGGCCGAGTTGACAGAAACAACCTTGTGCCCGCTCAACGGCAGGAGAACTGAGATGGTGGCTTGGGGTGACCTGCCAAGCTTAGGGAACCAGACCATGGAGGAACCCAAAGGCACTTCCCTGCCTAAGGTTTTAGGCTTGCGATGCCAAAGGGAGGAACAGCTGAAGCTTGGATCACACAGCAACAGCTCCCAGAAGCTACTGGGAAGTCCTTCTGTCCCTCTCTGCTCATCCTTTGCTGTTAAGAACACGGCACCTTGTGCGGGACCCTACTTCAGCTACAGGAAAAAGTATCTACACAGCACAACGGTCTCTTACCTCTTGACTCCGTTTATCATTAAATAACCATTTTCACTTCAAAGGCCAAATTCTGATTCAGCTCAAAACTCCCCCTGACTTCAGTGGAACCAGGGACTTGGCCATCGGTCAACGTGGAAACTAAAGAGACATTCAGAGTCACAAAGAAACTGCAGAAGTACTAAAAACCAAGGGGAGACAGTCAGGGTTGCCAAGCTGGAAATAGGATGATATTGCTTCTGCTATCGTTTCTCCACCGATTTTTTTATTTAATTAACTAAATGAGATACCTTTCAACAGAATTTAGATCTGACAAATGTCTGTTCTGCCCGAGGAGCCTACGCAAACAAATCTAAGGCTTCAGCTGTCTCGGTGATTACCAGCCTACGTGCTCAGAAATATGGGATTCCTGCAAGTTTTTACTACATCGTTTACTCCCAAGGAAAGGGCCTGCAAGGCACAAGCCTGGGGAAAATAGCTCCAGACACGTGGACAGCTGTGGTCTAAAACACAGTTGCTCCGTCCCATCAGCCCTGCTCATATCCCCCTGAGCGAGACAAGTCCTCTGAAAGCCCCCACCATTTGTCTGGCATGTGGAGAGCCGGAGGACAACGTGGGGTTACATTCTCCCGGTGGACGCACGGAGATTTGGTTAGGGAATTCCTGCAAATACTGAGAGGTAAGGAGCTACATCTCCAATGGCACTCGAGACATTTACCCCGAGGTGCAGAGCATCCGCTACGGCCAGACAGACTGAGATCCCTTCTGTGGGCTCAGGGACAGGGTGCTCTGGACATCCTGGCTCTTGCTTTTGAAGAACCTGCCTGGACACCATGCTTGTCCTCAATCCCAGGCAACTCTCCCATGGGACAAACCCTCCTGGGCACACCAAGTTCCTCGCAGGGTAGGGATGCTGGTTTTGTTCTGCTTTTGTGCAGAGCCTCATACCTAGTGGGCATGGCCAAGGCCACCCAGCAATTAACAACTAATATGGACGTGCAGCCACTCAGGCAAGAAGTTGAGAATGAAGAGCTGTGCCATGGCCAAGGTCAAACCTTCTGCTTCCCCTTCATCCTTCGGGTGAATGAAAATATTCCTCACTGCATTTTGTGGACAGGAAGTCTCTCTCCATCCTTTCTTTTGCCCAGGCAGAGTCTCATCTCTGTACCAGTAGCAGGCCCAGGAATAAGATGCTAAGTCTCAGGAGTATCTCACGACCAGCTTTGCTACCACCATGCCTGCAATTAATCATCAACTGCTGTTACAAGGAATTAAGATCTGCTGCAGAAATGGACTCTGTGGGATCTTCCACCCCCACAAGGACCCCAGATCCCACTTATCCGTGGCACCCCTGAAAGCTGGAGGAGCAGAGACCCCCAAGGCATGCAGCAACTGCACCTGCAAACAGAAGACCAGCGGGGCTGGCTCTGTGGAATGAAGGGCCACCGCTCTCTCTCTTTTTTTGAAAATCCCACAGGAATTTTCCATTGAGAGGGAGGGAAATGAAATAAAATTCTTAAAGAGTCACCACTGAAAGAGTTAGATAGCAACTGGGCTCTTCCCTGTTGTACTCGCTAGCTGCCCAGGATACTCTGCCTGAAAAGGGAAAGGGCAGGAGAAAGCAAAGTCCTCTGAAATATCCCCTGAACAAACCAGTTTCTCCAGGCCCAGCCTTTCTGAACTCAGCATATTCCAGCCACACCAGCTGGTGCACCTTGCATCATGTAGCTCCACAAATAACTGGACTGGGACCCCCGAGCAGGTGCTGCTGGAACGGTTTGGGCACGGCAGTGCTGGTGCCCATCATGACTGGCTTTGAGCACCTAAGG